GTATCTCCAAGGAATTTTTTAACTGACTGTGGACTACTCAAACCTCTTTGGAATATACTGCGAATTCTGAACCACTCAGAACCATTCCTGGAAGAAATATGGACAACTGAAATAATTTTACAACACTCAATTTCGTTGTCTTTTTAGGGCATGATAGCAATTTAAAGTTAAACCTCCAAGAAACTTCTTTAACACCAAATATGTCCTGGGATGCAAATCAAATCTGCTAAGGATTCTGTTGACAAAAATATTCCAATTTATAGTATCTGACGTTAGGAGAACCCCCCCCACCCAATAAAAAAGAAATACATTCATGACTAGTCGATAAAGCAGACTATCCGGCTTCCTACTTTGTCTTTTTCAATAAAATATATGCATGGAACTGGCATCAAATAAAAACCTTTCATTTCTATTTCTTAATTATTTATCTTGAAATTCTTTTTATTTCTTAATCAAATCCCCCTTTTGTTATCACTCTTTTATTAGTTTCACCTGTATGTATGTTTGTTTGTAACTCCAGAATTATAGACATTATTGCTTGATCTACTCGTAGGTAGATGGCGCTGTATGTAACCTCGTTGATATAATTCTCACTTGACATCTATTTCTTCATTAGAAAAAAGTATATTTCAATTAACATTAACACGCTTTTATTAGCTTCACCTGTATGTATGTTTGTTTGTTTGTATCTCTCCTTTTCATTTCATATTTATTCCCTTATGAATGTTGCTCACATTTTGGTTTCTGCTTTGAGTATTCTGTTTTACATCCGACTTNGTCATCTCTCAGAGGAATCAGTCCAGTCATCACCCGAAGACGATTGTAGATACTAACAATCGAAACGTCGTGAACTAACGTGACATGAAATCTCTACACTTTATATTTTTATTTTCTTTTTTCATTCCTTTATTTTTATTTTGTTTTTATTTATTCAATTGTTATATTTTTACTTGTAGTTTATTTATTTTACTATTATTTCATTACAGGTTTATTTTGCTTAATATAATTGTTATTTTCAGCTATTCATTTTTAATTATTCTTTTTTAGTTGTTTCAGGGATTTCAAATCATTTAATATAGTAGACAATGGAAGCCCGAACTAGTGAAATTCATCATGAAACATCGTCAATCGCCTTCAAACAAATATTCAGTCACTTACCCCCGAGGGAACCGAATAGCCAGAAAATTCTGCATCACTTTGCAAAACTCTTCCTACTCCCACAGACACTGGTCTAAGTCTGAGAGACTCCTTCAAAACCGCTTTACTATATACTGCTTCTTGTAGAATTTTTTCAGTAACGGGAGTATCTTTTTGTGGCAACAGTTTATGTGCTTCTCTGAATAAATTGTCTTGAGCATGCTGATTATTTGCCAAGTGGTATAAAAGGAAACTAGTGGTGTAAGTAGTCTGAAATATAATTCACATCAGAATTCAGAGTGATGATACAGGGTGTTTCAAAGTTCTCATTTGATTATTTATTGATACTGCATAATTTGATTAGAGTTACCAGTAAAACTTACAGTGTCAATTCCAGCTAGCAGAAAGTCACATATTACTCCGATAATATCTTTGAAATCCAATTCAGGCGATGACAAATACGTTTCTAATAATGTAGAAGGAGTATTTTTTTCTCGTTCAGAAAATAAAGACATCTTCAAGGAAAGAAGGTCAATGGCCACTCTAAAATCAAAGTACATTTCACAAATGAGTATATAATGATTTCCAACGAGTACAAAACTCACTCTTCCATGTATCCTTGAGCCCTTTTGAGTTTTTTGTAGAGTGGCGTATCGAATTTTTTCCACAACTGGGGTCCATTATCGGTTTTGAGTACGGAAGAATTTGTTACCAAGGCAGCTTCAATGAGCTTTGAAGATCTTGAATGTTTTGAACGTTCGTGTTTCGCGAAACTGTTTAAGCGGATGTCGAGAATGGCTTTTCCAGTCACTGAAACGATAAATGAATTCTCTGTCAGTTGCATTAATAGGAACCATTTGTTTGTATTCCAGTATATACTTTTGATTGGTAGATGTGTTTGGTTGTTCATATGTGGTATGAATGAAGTGTTAGCAATGTAGAAATAAAGGAGAAGAAGAAGAATAGGTTAGGTATAAATAACATTACAGAATGAAACACTATCCTCCTTTTTTTTATTGTCATTGTTATGTGATCAAATGTAAGCAATTGAATATAGTGTGGAAAGCAAGAAACTAGTCATTGGATCAGTGTGATAGGTGTATGCTCTTATACAGTCTGTATGTACTTATGCCATATTAGTATGGGGGGGACATTCTCCTCACGCTTCCAGAGTAGATAGATAGATAGATAAAATTTATCTGTTCAGGATAAAAATATAGTACCCCTGAGGGCATAGAACATGTCAGTATAAATATAAACATATATCACAATAATATTAGGTTAAAAGATGAAAGAAAGATGTACAGTACATAAACTGCACAAAAATATATGCATACATATAAAAATATTAATACTTGTAGATATAGGCTCTTAAGAGTCCATGATTGTAGTAGAAGCAGTCAAATAGATCAAATAATAATAGTATCATTTAAATACTCGTAAGTTGCATAGTATGCTTTTTCAAGTAAAAATGCTTTTATTTTTATTTTTGATGTTGTTTTACCGAATTCCCTCACTGTAAGAGGAAGTTTGTTGTAAATTGTTATTAGAGTATGCGGTACGTTTTTTTGAATAAATGAGAAGTTTGGAGTATTACAGGTCAAGTCTGATTTATTTCTTGTAGAGTATATGTGTGTCTTTTTAGAGTTCTCAAAAAGTTTGGTGTTTTCCTCAACAAATAGTATAGTATCAAGAATCTACTGGCTGTATAAGGTTAGTATTTCAATTTTTATAAATAAGGAATAACGATTTGGTGTTGGGAAAAAACTCCAGTAATATTAACCAAGTTTCAGCAGCTAGAGCTATAGGTTGTTATTATTGTCTAAGTTAGATCAACTAAGAAATTGTTAGGCGTACTTTCACATCGAATAAATGTCGTTCAGCGGTTTCGAGATCCCTCTTTTCTTGATTATATAAGAAATATACGTAATTTTCGGAAGTCTTTCTTAATTTGACATTACAGTGATTGAAAGTTTCGTAAAATGAGTCTGTCGCTGTTTAGTAGTTTCTCTCTTCAGACATAGTCAGCCGGAGCAACGCAAAAAAACTACTTGCTGTACTTAATCCTACAAAACTATTTTTTTCCATCTTGTAAATTAACAGACAAACAGGAGGACATAATAGGGTAACCTAAATAAATACTACTACTGCCACTACTACTACTACTACTAAGGTCAGGTAATTCAATTAAGAGAAATGAATCCACGACCAACTACGATAATAATATAAAACTGGAGGCAAATTCCAACATTGTAGTTTCTGACTTGAGAACAACTCGAGCACCTCGACCGTTACCTCCTCGCCTTTGATGTTCACCGCAGTTCTAGACGAAACGTAAGACATAAATACCTGCAGAACACGGCCAAAAAAACGGAAAATATCTTCGACACCGCTATCTCCGGCCGCGAAAGTCTACATTATTCAATCATCTGAATGATTCATTGATTAAGCACATACTACATGTACCTTTGATTGTGAGTGAAAACACTTAGCGGTAATTATGTGATGAAAGTATTACCAGTTCGTTACACTCACCTTCAATACTAACACTAACATATTTTGTTCCGCAAGTCGCCTTCCAATACAAGATCTTGGCCCGTGGCCAAAAGGTAAAACAAGGAATGGATTTGGCTGTTTATACAATGGATCTTTCTTCAACCATCTCTCTGGGATGAACTCATCTGGCGATGGAAAATATTTATGTAATCTGCAGGATATTTGATTTTGGCTCACTACGACTGTCTGAAAATGAAAGTGATAGTTGTATTTCAAATAGTTTTTGGTTGCATATGATATTTTTAAGGGGTTTCATTCCGGGTTCTGTGTTTTTGATCCTCAAAAGGATAATTTTCACGACTTTTCAGTGTACTGTAGTTCGGGTTGAACCGCGTCAAAAGGTTTCATCTGTTCGACGTTTCGGCTTCTGCTTTGAAGCCATTTTCAAGAACAAATTGACACTGAAGCTACATGTCTCAAAGACAGGGTTTTAAGCTACCTGACTCCTAAGTCTCATCACTGGCTTTACTCTTACTTTATTTAGTTCCAAGAAAACACTGTTCTTGTTGAATTATTTCTTTAATCCGATTTTTCGTTCATTATTAATATTATAGCGTTATTTTTGTAATTCCACCGCGCCCTTATCTATCAAATGAATCTACTCGATGCTCTTCACGCTGTGCGCGCGGTAGCTTCTGATTGCTCGATGAAAAGTGGAGGAGTGGGGGGCGCAGTAGAGGCGCCACTCCTACTTCTGTTTTTTTTTTTAACCAAAAGATGTCCAAATTGGCAGACTTGAATTCTAAGCGTAACATCCCATCAACAAATAACTCCAGCAGATCTTTGAGCTTAGTTGTTAAATTCGCTTCATTTATAGCTGCAGTTAAAAATGGATTCAAGATCAACCTTTGCTCAGTGTTTTCCGATATCTCTTGCACAGAAAAGTAATAACATAATTCTTCTTTCAAATTATCTAACACCGTTTTCTTACCAGGTATTATATACTCCTTGATGTTTGTTTTACATCCGACTTCTTCAATATAAGACTGTGTCAACGAAAATGAATCCAAGTTGTTTTGATTTATAGGGTTTATCTTTTTCATTTGGATGTTTTGTGTAACTTCGATGGCTTCATGCTTTCCCTTGATAAATTTTCAAAGCAAATAACGTACTGCGGTTTATTCTCAATCACAGTAAACCCGAATTTCAAATAATTGTCAACATAAAGACGATTTTTTTTTGTTTTGATTCACCACCCCCGCAAGAAGTTGACGGTTCTGTTGGTCTTTTCTGGAATTTATCCATTTTCAATTACTACAAATCACTTCAACTAAATACGTGAAAAACGGAAAACACGCGTTTTCTGTCCGATAATTGTCAAACTGTACAATAGATGGCGGTAAGCTTCAATGCGAAGTGAGAAGTTTCTAGTCTCCATTCTCGAAAGTACTAGGCCCGCCCGCTGCGGGCGCGCCATCCAGCCAGTAATGCCATTCGACGATATTACGAAAACAAGTGAATTTAGTTAGCGACCAGCTAGGTAAAGTGCTGTACGTGCGGTGGTGAATACGTAAAGTGGTGTCATAAGCAAGTTTTTAATACTCGATTCTCTACTTTGGCATTTTTGAAGAAAAAATTATGTCGGAAGCGAATACCCTGTACCTATTCGAAGAATACTGTTAGTTAGTATCCCTACAATACATCCCCATTCACAAAGACAGAAATTCTAGGTACTCTGGAAACAATGGCAATAAAAACTCCGCAGGTACTGATGGTATCTCAATAGTTACTGTGAAAAAAATCGTAGACCTTATAATCGAGCCACTATTGTTTTTGATGAATCAGTCATTTTTTGTAGGTTGTTTTCCAAATGTATTTAAAACGGCTCTCATATTTCCTTTATATAAAAAAAGCGACAAAACTGAGGTAGACAAACAATTTCCAAGTTCAACGTCATTCATACATTCAGGGCACGCTAGCTTTCAAGTTTCCTCCTCAAGTTTTATTCCTCAACAAACGGGTGGATGAAATATTCACAACTCTGTATGTTGTGTTTCAATTTTTTGAAATAGTCCCGAAAAGTATCCTCTATTTATTTTTCAATAAATAGAGAACACGGATACAGTTTCTTATAAAAATTAGCATACCACTGAACTTTCTGAATGCAAACATTTTTGATTCAGTACGAGTTATAAAAAGTAAAAAACACTGTTATTCTTAACATAGTCTTTTACGGAATTTCAATAAAATTGGTCCATTAGGCTTATTGATCAGTAGTGATTTCGAATCCAGGTTACCTCCAAGCCATTCTACATGAAAATTTCTTATAATCTGCAATTGAAAATTACAAAAAATTAATATCACTCAAGTGCATTTTAAAAAGAGTAATCAAAACACTAGGTCTGTTCAAAAAATAAGATGACTTATCATTCTTTTCAAAAAAATGTATTCATTCATCAATTTCTATTTTCAGTGTCACTGTTTTTCGAGTTTGAAAGCCGTGGATTTTTGGAATTTCTTCCTGACGTTTCNTATATGGTTAGGTTAGGTTTAAAATGGGTTTTCCATTTCAAGCATATATGGTTAGGTTAGGCTTATAATGGGGTTCCCGTATTAAGCGTATATGGTTAAGTTAGGTTTAAAATGGATTTTCCATTTCAAGCATATATGGTTAGGTTAGGCTTAAAATGGGGTTTCCGTTTTAAGCCTATATGGTTCGGTTGGGTTAGGCTTAAAATGGGGTTCCCATTTTAAGCCTATACGGTTAGGTTAGGTTTAAAATGGAATTCCTATGTTAAGCCAAACCTAACCTATATACTCAGGTTAGGCTTATAATGGGGTTCCCGTTTTAAGCATATATGGTTAGGTTAGGTTTAAAATGGGTTTCCCATTTCAAGCATATAAGGTTAGGTTAGGTTTAAAATGGGTTTTCCATTTCAAGCATATATGGTTAGGTTAGGCTTATAATGGGGTTCCCGTATTAAGCGTATATGGTTAGGTTAGGTTTAAAATGGGTTTCCCATTTCAAGCATATAAGGTTAGGTTAGGTTTAAAATGGGTTTTCCATTTCAAGCATATATGGTTAGGTTAGGCTTATAATGGGGTTCCCGTATTAAGCGTATATGGTTAGGTTAGGTTTAAAATGGGTTTTCCATTTCAAGCATATATGGTTAGGTTAGGCTTAAAATGGGGTTCCCGTTTTTAAGCCTATATGGTTCGGTTGGGTTAGGCTTAAAATGGGGTTCCAATTTTAAGCCTATATGGTTAGGTTAGGTTTAAAATGGAATTCCCATTTTAAGCCA